TTCTTCTTTCTACACCGAGATACACCGAAAGAAGAAGAATTTTCGGAGAGAGCACACCTTGCGATTCTACTGTAGATGTATCGCACGCAATCTTCAACCTGATCACCAAAAAACAACAATAAATTATCTTTTCTCAGGTTGAACATCTTCTTTGACACCGAACTCCAAAAGACTACCTCACGAATTCAGTTCCTGTGCAAAGCTTACGGAAAACTGCTACAGGTGAGGCGAGGCAGTTTTCAAGGCTTGCAGAAGAAATAAACTGGAAGAAAAGTTACGGGTTGAAGGATACAAAGCAGGTAGCAACAATTTCTTGCGATTTGTTTTTCAGTCTTCTATGAGACGCCAGAAAGAAAAAGCTCCCTTTATTGTTGCAGCAGATATGATACCCCTCATGCATAATAAAGCCAAACTCTTGAACATCGACACACTTCTTGGTGTAGTTGCTGAAGTTTTGATTGAAGCACCAAAATTAAGGGTATTAATACTGAAGTTTTTTTTTCAAATTTTCTTGAAAATTACATTTAGAGGGCAAATTTATAAGGCACATTAGGTCAAAGTAGATAATGTTGCACTTATTTTCATAACTAATATCACATTATTTTTCTATAGTTTACAAATCGGTTTGCTGGTTCACTTTGCTATTTACTAAAAATCAATAACTTTTTCTTCAACTAACTACACATAACCTACTTAAGTAACCAACATAAATCTTATAAATCATCAATATCACAACCAAGTTTGTTCTTCCAAGGCTAATCATTAGATTTTGTTAATAAAGCTACTTCTTGATGAAGGGTGATCACCAATTCAAATATATGTAAATAAAAGATAATGTTATGATTCATACTTATCTTATTCCAATTTAGAGCACATTAATCATTTATGCATCATTGATGCTCCTTCAATTATCCTTAAAAATAAAGTTATTTAATGAAAATTTTCAAAAAGCTCAAAGGTACATAAGATAATTACACCCTCTGCATGGCTTCAAAGTTAACAGGGTCTGATAATCTTGTTAAATCAACCATAACTCCTAATGCTTTAAAAACAATTTTTGTGTGTTATAAATAAAACTAGAGATCATAGTTTTCATTTCTTCATATTATTGTCTTTTAACTACGAATTACTGAAGATAAAACTATCCCAAGTGCTCGTTCCTCTTGTCTTATTTCAACTTCAATTAACATATATTGAGTATATTAAAATTCTATCAGACTATAAATCGAGGCATCTCCTCGACTATTTTTTATTAATCGTGCAAAAGACAAATTGAGCAATGATATTAGAGCCTCTAAATTAAATTAATTTATAGAGAACTTCCAAAATATTATAGCTTTTATGTTTTACCTTTAGTGATAAACAAATCCATTTTAATATTTTCCATTAATAGTTTGTAAGAAAAAATCTCACCTATCTTTGCATTATAAAAAACTCATAATAATTAACTTTTTTTTTAAGCAAAACAGGTTTATATTTATTTATTACACAAGAAAAAATATACAAGTCCGAAAAAGAGGTCCCAACACACACACTCTACAAATACACAAAGAAAGTAAAAAAGACCTTTCTCCAAAAAAGAAAAATACAACTCACCCACACCAAAACACAACAAGACTCAACACACAAAATACCAGACAATCAAAGCCACAAAAAACGAATCAAAGAAAAACCAAAACAGAAAACAACATAACTAAGAGCAACCAAATAGCCACCAAACTATTCAACATTCTTTAAGGCTAAAAGCATCAGATTATAAGGAATAATCTTCGAGACTGTAGCACCCCGATTCTTCAAACCCCATTTAGCCGCCTAGTGAGCAGCCTTATTGCCTTCTCGCTTGGTATGAGACCAAAGAATAAATAAGTTCTTGTAAAGAGCAAAAATTTTTTTCATCTGAATATTAATACTCCAATGATAATCTTGTTGCAATTGACAAAACTTCCAAAGAATCAGTTCCCATAATAATAATATTCCAACCATAATTGATAGTCATCTTCAGACCATAGATAAAAGCATCAGCTTCAACAGCCAAAGGGGAATCAGAAAATGCACCTGCCGAGAACCAATAAAAAATAGAACCTAAATAGTCTCGACAAACTCCTCCTACACTAGCAGATAAGGGATTCCAACAACCATCAACCTTAATCTTAATAAATGACATCCACAGTTCATGCCATTTAACATTATCATTAAATTTAATATGCACATAACTAGGAATATCTGGAAGATGTCTCAAATGTTTCATATTTCCAGAAAGTATAGTGTTATTGGGCAAAAACTTTGATCCTTTATATAAATAATTCAATACCGAACTAACAGTTCTATGCACCTTGGGAACAATATTTTTAAATTTACAATCATTTCTAGTAACCCATATAAACCAACTTATAACAACAGGTATAGGAGTAAGAATATCTTTACCGAGCAGCTTCCAAGCATCGAAAATCTCAGAAATGTTATTATACTGTATCAGATTTCTGTTAAATCTGTTTAACAGCAACTTTTGTATAATATCATTCCAAACATCAATAGTAAAATGATATTTAAGAAAAAGATGTTCCATTTCTTCCTCATTATCATGACACAAAACACAACAAGAAGGCAATCTTAAACATTTCACCTTAAGAATATCATCACTAGGAATGATATTATGAAAAACTCTCCAAATAAAAAAGGAGATGGAAGGTTTAATCCAAATATTCCAATTCCATTTAAGATTTAAACCTTGCAAAAATTGAAAGGAGTTAGCAAAACATTTAGCATAAGAATCACCCAATTTGCCTTTAATTTTAGGCAAATCAGGCTTAGTAATATCAATAGGAATAAAAGCATTAAAATTAGCATCATCATAATTAACCTTTTGCAAAAGTTTCCTAAAACACCACTGATTTTCAAACCATAGGTCATTAATCTTGATATTAATATTCTCAGGGCCACCGTAAAAGTCAGCAAGAGCACCTTTGTCCAACCAATCATCATACCAGAAAGAGCAATCGCCTTTACCAATATCCCAACAAATCATATCTTCCGTATTTCTAGCAACCTTGAGCATTTCACGCCAAATAAAAGAATCACTTTTGTTATAGGTAATAGTCATAGGATTCCTGTTAAAGCAATACTTAATATGCATCAAAGAAGCCCAAATGGAATTATTCTATCGAAAACGATACCATAATTTCATATAATTGATTTTAATAGAATCATTTAAGCTTCTAAAGCCAAGTCCTCCATTTTCTATAGGTTTACAAAGCTTATTCCAACTTTTCCAGTGGAATCTGGAATGACCTTTACCTTCCAACAGAAACATATTAAAAAGATTTTCAATCCTCTTAATAACATTCAAAGACATATTCATAACTTGAAGAGTATAAAGAGGGAGAAAAGTAAGAACACTTTTAAGAAGAGTCACCCTACTCCATGATGATATGCATCAACGAGTGTTGCTTTTATAATGTAACTCATAGAATTTCTAATCAAAATATTTAAATCCTAAACACTAAAATCATAGCCAACAAGGAGTTTTATTAGTCATGAAGACTACATAGCATATTGAACACGGACATGAATATTCCTAGGGTTTTTACTTGCACACCGCACAATTCTTAAACATTTACATATCAATACCTAAACTTTAACATTCAAATCAATGCCATATTACATAAAGAAATACTTCTTTTACACACTTTTTAATAGTAAAAAACACACTTTCACGCATAAGTTTTGAAACAAGATTGTTATAATAAAAGTAAATATTAAACTTTAGATGTCAAATACGTAAATACATTAGAATTGTGTCGTATGTATGCAAATTTCCCTAAGACATTAGTTTATGTTATTAAAAGTATGATAGATTGTCCATGTATAAGGAATTTAGTGCTTTGATTTGCTGTTGTTATAAATGAAAATATCAAGGTGTAGGTATTAGACATGTAATTACATAAGAATTGCATGGCATGCATGCAAACTTCCTTTAAAAAATATGCTATGTAGAATATATATATATATATATATATATATATATATATATATATATTAATCAATATCATGTAAGTATTTATTTGATATATTAGCTAATAATCAACTACTTATCTTGCACCATTGTAACATTGTTCATGTTAAATTATCCCTGATTTCATATACATTATTTTCACAATTTGATGATCAAGTATTTATTGGGGATCATATTTTATTTTATTTTATTTTATTTTCCTTTCAACTTTAGTTTTATTTAAAAAAAAAAATGATAATTTAGTGTATTTTTTTATTTTTAGAAGTGCTCTAAATAAAACTACCTATTTTGGGTGTGTTTAAAGGAAGCCATATTTCATTTTAGGGAAATTTATATAGATACCAAACATTTCTTATTCATTTACATATCTAGCACCTAAAATTTGATATTTATATTTTTAACTTTTTGGTATAAAAATCCATGCATAAGAATACATATATCACCTCTACTTGACCTATTATGAGATTTAATTGATTATAAATGAACCAATGCACTTGACGAGCAACTCAACACTCGAGTCAATTAATACCCCGACATACTTGCTCAAATTAGTAAATAAACAAATGCGGCACATTTTCTTAAACTCAAATGTTTAAATGAACCAAATTTGATCTTAAACTCAAAAGTTTATTTATTAATGTTCACGAACAAACTCTTTTCGTTGTTCGCCAAAAGACTTGTTAGCTACTCTATACGTGTATGATGCATTATACAAATAAAAATTTAATTAACTATAAATTATTTAATTATATATTTAATAACAACATATTATAATTTAATATCAATATGCATAAATATTTAATATAATTTCTTCAAAACAGAAACAAGTGCAAACCAAGTCAAGACCACAAAAAATTTTTAAGATGAGTACGAAAATATGAGAAAGCTCAGCTCAGACTCGAACCGAACATAAACAACCACCCTAGAGGTATCATATTCTACGAATACAACTTCTAATTCGATAAATGATGTCACATAACAAAGAATAAACAAAAACATAAAAACCAAAGTCAAATTAAATGGGAGATATCCCTACAAACTTCAATCAACAGGAATTAAAATCCTTGCCAGCTTCCAGTTTCAACAAAATCACTTTATTTCCAAGATGGTGATTCAGGGAGGGGTTTCAATATAATATACATTCATAAAAAGAGAGAAGCAATTGAAACTCTTGGCCAAGAGAAAACCAGACTAGCAATACCAGCAAAAGACTACATCTATAGTGATATAATCATTATCAACAAAACTAAGATTAAGATTCCCTTCTATCATTCTCCCCTTCTGTTAACAAAGGCTTTTGGGATTCTGGAAGGTGTTGTAAGTATAAATTATGCACCATCTCTACATATTTATGAATATATTTTTCTTCCCAATCACTGGTTTTAATTGGTGGCAGATATCTTACTTTGAGTGGGGCGGGTCTCACGCGGAGGCTGTTCTTCCTCCAGGCTACATGAGTGCCTGTCAGGACCATTGGGACTATTGGCAACCTGGATTGCAATGCTATGTGGACAAATCCCTAATTTTTGAAAGTTTAGGGGTTAGATGCAAATCGAAAAAGGAAGGTTTTGATGTATTTACACATCTAACATAAAAAGTTTGATACTTGTATCTATAACACGTGTCATAGAACTATGCATGAACATATATATTTTTCTTTTAAAAAGTTATATATTTAAAAATAAAAAGTTTAGGACTTGGGCATGTAAATATGGAAGAATTGTGTGGTATGTATATAAATGCACCATTGTATTATGGAAGCCAATGTATCACGCTAAATTTTCTCTACCTTCTTGAAGGGAAGAAGCCTTCCGGTCTTCGACCGAGTTCCCTCTGGAAAAATTATCAAGGATAGATTTTTCTTGACAATGGCCTGAGCGACCTGAGTTCAAAGAATAATAAATTAATATGATAAATAATAGAAGATAATGTTAGATAATCATCTGACAATGTAAGTATAGAGTGATGGATGATATTAGAGGATAAGCGACCTTTTTCATGGACTCGATTGCAACCATTGGATTGGATCGATCGATACGGAGATGATTGGCCAACACATATAGTTGGCCAAACATTGGGTACCATATTATCTGCAACAGACAAGACTCATTTAGCATAAGAACTTAGAACATCTAATCAGTCTAGGATTCAAGACAAAACTGATAAATCCTATAAATCCAGATTTACTAAATCCTGCCAACGCAAGAGCTTAGAACATCTAATAAATCCAGAATTCAAGACAAAAATGGGAAGAAATGGGAAAATAACTGGATTTACTAAATACAGGATTTAAAATTTGACTTATGTTTGTCAGGCAGATTTATGTTAAATACCACTTCAATCCATTACCAACCAACGCCTTAAATGTTTTTCAATTAATTTTCTTCTGCAACAAAACTAGAATCTTCCATAGAATGCCAAAAATGCTGATTGAAATTTTCGGGCGTTACCTCTTTTTTGGCAATACCCACAGTGCCGGTTGGAACCAACCACATGACGAGAAAAATGTCGAGAGGCGATGCATGGTTACATATGTAGATAGCCCTGGTGTTGGAAAATTCAGAACCTTCTATTTTTATGGGGTTTCCTAGAATCCACATCTGTCAACAAGACATAAATTGGTCCTCATATGAGATAACAGATAGCAATAACGATCTTACAGAAACACATGGCGCAAAAGAGAATGGAAGATGTTGATATAGATGAGATACAAACAAAGAGACAACAATGCCCACAAAATATAAAGACGAGTGAGGATGAATGTAACAGCCCACATGTAAACAGATGAAAATTTGTTAATAGAATGGATTTCAAGCAAAACTTTGGATTCATAAAGTACAGCCATCATTTATCAAAGGAAGATTTACATACATACCATTCAATTCTTATGTATTTAGATATCTAACACCTGAAGTCAAATTTTTACACGCATACCACCTTACCTATGCATAAAAAAGTGTATTTCACTCTTTAAAAGTTAAAATAGTGGTGTTTTTTTGTGTGATATAAAAGAGTTGGATGGTAAAATGTAAAAAAAATAAAATTTAGGTGTTAAATATGTAAACCAGGAGGAATTGGGTGGTATGTTTGTAAATGCCCCTTTATCAAAAAAAGCTGTCTTTAAACTTTTCTTCTCATTTGTTTAAAATGCGCATGCTGCTGCTTTGTTAAAACAACAGGAAAAATAAATGAGAATAAAATGCTATAAGAGCTCAAGATCAAAAACAATTTGCTGCTAATTTGCATAATTCTATCAATTTTCAAAGTTACTAGACAACAAAGTGACCTTAGGATTAAATATCAAACAACTATAAACTGAGAGCAGTAAAAATTAAACAAGCGTTTATATAAAGAAAAAAAATAAAATCCAACTTATTGTCATTATTACGAGAAAATCAACTCCGTAGTTCATCTTAAGCTTCATTATGTAAAAAACTATAAATTCTGTATCAGCAAATAATTACATAAAAAAGGGCATTTGCATACATGCCACACAATTCTTACTATTTACATATCTAAAACCTAAACTTCAATATTTACATTAAAAGCACTCAAATTTTTAGCATTGCATAAAAAATACCACTTGTAATAACTTCTTAAAAGTCAAACGCATTTTTTTTATGCATCGGTGTTATAAATATAAATATCAAACTTTAGGTGTTAGACATGTAAATCCATAAGAATTGTATGATATGTATGTAAAATTTTCTAACAAAATAGCGCCTGCCAATTGCATGATACCTGCTTGATCCGCTCCAAATCACCATGGAGTTTTAATACAATTCAAATTCCATTCAATTCATGAAACATAACTTTTGCTCGTTTTTTCAAAAGTATTCCATATCAATGATATAATTAGATCGGTCCCATACTATGCCTAAGTTATGTGCAAGACTAAAAAAGCAATTCAGTAATTTATTAGTTATTATTATGGGGTATAAATAGGACTTAATATGTTTAGGGTTATGTATTGTGTGATTGTTGTCTTAAATCTTAGGGTTAGGGTTTGGAAGAGATCTCTCGCCTCTCGAATTTTAAGTGTTTAAATTTTATGTATTCGGGAATGTATCATTTTAATTTGGTACCAACGGAATAGAATCTAGTATTTCTAAACTTGCCTTGTTCCTATCAGATACCAACACAAAGAACTGCAAATCAGTTTTGTGAAATGCAAATCTCAATGCAGTTCACGCTTCTAAATTCACTTTAATTTTCAGTCCTAAAAAAAACTTCAAGCAAGCAGTAGTTATAGTATCAAATGAAAGCAATTCCTACTGCTACATTTTAATGTAAGAAGATTTAATAGATGCCAAGGGTAAGTGTAAATTAAAAAGGGGAACATGTGCCTTATTTAACCAAAATATAATTAAAAGAATGTAGCCAATTAGTGTAAACCAGCAGAGCTGAATTTCATTTCTCATGCACAACATTGGGTCATGAATGTATGAATCAGTTTAGTTCCTCATTATATTTTAGTTTCCTTTTCAAAATGGAAATTGCGACCATAGAGGAAAAAGTTTTAATCCAAAAAGTTAGCATTGCATCTGTCTAATGAAAGAAAGGGGATATGATGAATCTTGTAACTCTAGATGTGCATGGAGAAAAACAATCGCTCTGGCGTATTTTCAAAAGAGAAGTAAATTAGAATAAACTTAAGAGAAAAAAGCAATAAATGTTGGACGAAATCTTAATTATGAAATATCAATGAAAGTTAATCTCACCTCCAACCATAGTAATACAATTAAAGATGAATATTAAGAGATTTGACAATCTATCCAAACAATTGTTATCTCATGAAAATATGAAATCACAAACTTATCTAATTAGACTAGAGACCCTCATATTGCTTGTTTTAATATATTCTATTATACCATCAAGAAAATATACATATATAATAAAAGTACCATCTGAATGGATAATCAGATCCTTCTCCGCTAATGAGAGATAATAACCAACCAAAATATTATTGTAACTATCTTAATTTAATGAATCACTTAATTATTAAATTAATTTAAATGACATAATTAAATGCCATTTTTAATTAAAATGATGGGACTCATTTCTTATAAATGACAAGTTGTTTATGACATTCATTCACTTAGCCAATTAATATTAATATTGTATATAACCTTATGTGAACAAATTATTTCTCTTAAATCTTAAAGATTAAAAGACAAAAAAAAAAAAAAAGAATCATGATCAAGTCCTCTAAATTGAGTACTAGTTTCAATATATTATGATTAGATGGAGCTGTAATTGAGCTGAGCCGAGACGAGTCAAGTATGTTATGGATTGGACATTGCTTCGTCGAATCGTAAGTTATTCATATTTAGTTTGAGCTTTAGCATATATGCTCATACTTGGTTTGCTTAAATTTTTTAAATTTTCAAACTTGATTTGTATCTGACTTGTTTATATTTGAATAAGCTAAAAATTCAAATAAATTTCTTATATAAAATTATTAATAAAGAATTTTATAAATTTAAATAAATCTTAAATCAACATCCAACTAGTTTATACCAAGTAAATAAAATATTATATAAGTTATAATTAAGTTTTCTTGCAAACAAATAACATAAATAAATACCAAGGAATTAGTTTATCAAAAAAAGAATATAAGAAAAAATGCATTAAATGCATATCGATATTAAATTATAATATATTGTTATTAAATATATAAATAATTAAGTTCTATTTAGTCAAATTTATTTAAATAATATATCATATTCATTTAACATTTGATTTTTAAGAAATTGTTCAATTTTTTTATTTACTAATTTGGCAAACATGATCGGTATTAATAGAATCTAGTTTGAGTTGTTCATCAATTGCATATAGCTCTGTGATTAGGGATCCCAATCAACCGAGCATTAGACAAGCTACTCATGGCTTGGCTTGATTAAAGTTTGTTCATACTTGTTTGATTATTTAATTGTATGGGCTTGAACACTTTCATAGGTACTCAATTACTAAATGAACAAGCTTGAAAAGGTTGTTGATTGACTCATTTATGTTCATGAACAATATAACTTAAAGCTCGCGAGCAAGTTTATGAACAAACTCGATTGATGCTTGATTACAACTCGATTACAGTGCATTTGTGAACAATATTGTTTAAATGCTTATTTTTAGGCCCAATGAACATTGTTTGACATGGATCATTTATTTTTTCTAATAAGCTGCTCGTATAATACCTGAGTAAGACTGGATTAAAACTCAAATAAGACAGAATTAGGGCTCATTTATTTTGTTAAACAAGTTGTTCATTTGGAGCTCCAATTATGATTTAATGTCCTACTACATGAGCATCATGTATTGTGTATATATTTATGAGTGAACTACAATTATTCATTAAGGGTATTTATTTATTAATCAAGTCACCATATTACCTTTTTAAAAATTTAATGTATACAACCAAAAGAGAATACAATTTCAGATACTGGATTTTAATACTAAAATCGAAAAGGAAGGATTATCTCAATGCAGATTTACATCATAAAACTAAGTCCCATAAGCAACACATGTTTCTTATATGCTTTGGTAGGAACATTTCAGTCAAATGATTTGCAATCATCAACATAACATAACAATGAAAAACTCAAGTATTACCTCGTTAGATTTACATGTTCACTAATTACTATATGATTTATGTCATTATGTTTACTTCAAAGCTAAATACAACAAAATTAATACAAAATAACCTCAATGGCCTACGAATAAAAATCAACGATTTCAAGCCCCAAAATAAAACAAGTCAACCAAATAGCAAGTAACGTTTTTTTCAACATATGATACAAACTCTATCTCTGTAGTTAAAATGATAATTAATGATTGATATGCACTTTTTCATAAAAACAGCCTCTTCTCCTAACATGAAGTCACATCAAAATGTCAGTTTTTGGAGCCAAGGCAATTGAATAAGTCAGAATCCAAGTATCTAATCATTTCAAGATGGCCATATTTTTTGTAGATAAACATGCCATCCTTTGTCCCTTGAGGATATATTTAATGATCTTCATTGTTTCTTTCTAATATTTCAAACCATGATTACTCTGATATCTACCCAAAATTATTACTACTGCATATGCAATGTCAAGTTTTGTGCTGGCTTGCATATGTGCATAGAGCATCCAATTGCTAAAGCACATAAAATATTCTTCATTCATACCCCTTTATCATTTCCTAGGCTCTAGTTTAAATACAATTCATCATTTTTACCAATAGAAGTCATACTTGGGGGCTGTACGACAATGAATGATCTTTAAAAGTGGATTTAGTAAATCTTGTAAATCCAAATTTAACAAATCATTTAGTTAAATTAAGATAAATATTAATCATTAAATTTACTTAAATTGAATTTATATTTAATTTCTAATCATGCTAATTAACAATTAATTATTCATCAAACAACTAATAATTAATTAAAAAATATTAAACTAAATACTTATTAAACAATAATTTAGCATTTATAAATTAATAAATAAATAGTTATTAATTATACAACAACAACAACAACAACAAAGCCTTAATCCCACTACGTGGGGTCGGCTACATGAATCCTTTTTCTCCATTGCGTCCTATTTAGTGTCATATTTTCATT